TATATATATATATACTTATATATCCCACGCAGTAGCAAGGTATCATCCTACAACACGATGCGTGTGTCGGTGTTTCGTAGGGCGATGAGTGAGAAACTGAGAGAAATCAATCTGCCGCCTTTAGCTTCACCGTGCCTTTCTTCGTTTCTTTTTCTACTTCCGTATCATGCACCTCACGTGCATTACCACAGAAACAGATAGCGAGTGTGTGTGCGAGAGGGAGAACCTGTGCGTTTGTGTGCAGGCACGCGCGGAGAAGCACAAAGGTTTGTACATTACGACGAAGAGAGGGGCCAAAGCTCCACTCTTCTGTTCACCGGAAGTTGCTCTTTCTTCGAGCTACATCATCGGCAGCTGCTACTCGCCGCACGGTGAGTTGCAGTGTGAGCAGAAATAAACAGAGGCGGAGGCGGCGAGCTGTGCGTCACCAATACACATCGCAGACGTGCAGCCCCCCCATCTCTCTCTCTCTTTCTCTCCTTGTGCGTCTGTGTGTGTGTGTGTGTGTCTTCTTCGTTGTGCCGGTGTGGTTGTGGGAGTCTGAGCCAAAATGGGCCGCCGCGCACATGTGGTGAGCCGCAGGTCTGTCGTGGCCGCGAACGGATCGCCGACAGCCGCGAAGGAGGAGGAGAACTGCGGCGAAGGCGGTAGCAGCGGGGCCATGGCAGACATCCCGGCGCCGGCACCGGCGCTCAGTCTGTTCTCGCGCTTCCAGCAGAGGAGCAATGACTTCACCGGGGACTGGATGATGATGCAGGATGCGGAGGTGCCGTCTGTCCCGCCCATCTCTTCAGATCTGGCGCAGAAGTTGCGTGAGCACCAGGACGTCATGCAGAAGCAAAGAGATGGTGCCGCCGCCACTGCCGCTGAGGGAAGAGCCGCCACGCCCACAACAACCACGACGGCTGGGGGCGAGGGCGGCAACACCAGCGAGGATGACGAGTATGACCCCAACGAGGTGGCGGACACGAGCACGGTGCAACAGAAGCAGCCAAGCGACGGTCAGGGTGAAGACGGAATCCAGGGTGACTTCCTCAGTCTCCTTTCCACCAAAGAGACGAGAGGTGACGTGGCAAAGAGCGATCTCCAGGCCACACTTACTGTGCTAGAAGGGCGTTGCGCAGTAGACTCGCCTAAAAAATCGTCATTGTACGAAAATAATAAGCAAGAACGACAGAAGGGTGCGTTGCAGCCGTCTTCTTCCTCGCACCAGCGTGTGGTGCCGCTCTGGAGCGTGGAACGTTTCACCACGCGTAATGGATATTCGCGCAATCCGATCATTGCCCTGCACCAGGAGATATGTGACTTCGTTGATTATCTTCGCCCATCGCAGGTGGAGATGTCGATGCGGCGTATCATTGAGATGGAGGTGAGTGCCATCGCCAAGCGCCTTTGGCCCGAATGCGAGCCTATTGTGTACGGCAGTATGTCGACACAGCTGCTGCTCCCGCTATCCGACCTCGACATGTCGATTCTAAACGTCCCGGTCTCCGTAGAGGAGGCCCTGGCGACACTGGCGAGGGAAATCAGCTCTGAGGGGTTGTGCCACACCGCCTACCCGCAACTCATCCTAAAGACAAAGGTCCCGCTCGTGAAGTTTCAGCACCGCCTCTCGTTGCTTGACGTTGACATCAGCATTAACGCTGCGGACGGCCAGCGGAACTCCGCTATTGTGGTGGACATGCTGAGCAAGTACCCAGAGGCGCGGACACTCACAGTGGTGGTGAAGTACTTCCTGCAGCAGCGCGGCATGCACGAGCCGTACCACGGAGGCCTCGGCTCTTTTGCCACGACGCTGCTGGTGATCAGCTTCCTGCAACACCACCCCATCTACACCGATCACACAGAGGAGCGGGCGTACTCCGGTCTGGGGCGGCTTCTGGTCGACTTCTTTCGCTACTACGGCCTCTGCTTTCGCTACAATCGCTGCGGCATCTCGCTGCTTGACGGCGGCCGCTACTTTCGTCGCACCGACGCCTCCATGTTCTCCCCAATGCAGGCGTCTGGGCCACGCTCACCACTGGGACCACCGCAGGTGCTCGTGGAAGATCCGGGATGTCCACAGAACAACGCTGCGAGTTCGCTGCGCAACTTTCACGTCATAACGTCACTCTTTGCGCACGCATACATGACGCTGACGGCGGTGTTTGACCCGCCGGCGGGCGGCTCGCAGGCGTACTCACCCGACGCGGTTGAGATTGCACGCCGCCCCACGCTGCTCTCACGCATTCTGCACGTGGACGCGCCGAGTGTGGGGCGGCGCCAGTCCATTGCGGCCGCGTATGAGGCGCTGCTGCAGGACCCTGCGCAGCGCGAGAAGGTTCAGGCGGTGGCCGCGACGTTCCGCAGCGAGGAGGATAAGCGTGGGCGCAAGGGTACGCAAAAGCCAGATGTGCCTGCGGCAGGTGCTGCAGCTGCGGCGGCGATGGCAGAGAGTCGTAAACGCCACCGCCGCAATACCCCGGCAAGCACGAAGAGTAGTAACAGCAGCAGCAGCAGTAGCAACAGCAGTAACAGCAGCAGCAGCAGCAGCAGAAAGAAGGGCGGCAGTGGTACCATGCCATCACATGACGGTGCATGCTGTGTAAAGGGGGGGCGCCCCCGCGGTTGACGTGCGTGTCTTTGTGGCGGGGGGGCACGTGGCGCGTGCGTGTCTCCTCCTCACCCCACGTGCATGGCATTGTTGAAACCCGTGGGTATAAGAGAAAAAAAGAAACGAAGAAATGTCGAACAACGAAAGATATGGTGAGACTCTCTCTGTGTGTGTGGGGGGGGGGNGGGGGGGGGGGATAGAATGAGTGTAAGAATGGTTCTTAAGCGCGGTTCACCCTTCTGCTGTTTCGCTCCCGAGTAAAAAAAAAACCCATTCCTCTTCCACACGGCTGCTGGTCCTCTGCGCCACCACCACCACCTCCGCTCTCCCCGCGGAGGCCGACTGCTCACCCCTACTCATATGCACACAGGCATACGAGGAGAATCCTTTCTGGCCTTCCTGCTGCTATTGCCTTGCACCTTGGTAGTTACAAGCAAAGAAAAAGATTCTCGCTACTCCCACATGAGCCGCCCAGCGAGGCCGGGAGCGCCATCTCCGCTGTCCACGCAGCCAAGGCCCAACGCCAGCCCGAACGCTGCCGCTGTCGCTGCTGCTGCCTCCCCCACTTCGGTGGTGTCGGAGCTGACGGAGGAGCAGCGGCAGGAGATCAAGGAGGCGTTCGACCTCTTCGACACCGACGGCAGCGGCACCATCGACGTGAAGGAGCTGAAGGTCGCGATGCGGGCGCTTGGCTTCGAACCACGCAAAGATGAGGTGCGCCGCCTGCTCTCTACCAACAGCGACGAACGTAGCGGCGGCGGCGGCAGTGGCGGCGACACGGAGACGCTGGCGATCGGCTTCGCGGAGTTCATGGACATCATGGCTCGCAAGATGACGGAGCGTGACTCGCGCGAGGAGATGCTGAAGGCGTTCCACCTCTTTGACGACGACAAGACGGGGAAGATCTCGTTCAAGAACCTCAAGCGCGTCGCGCAGGAGCTCGGCGAGAACATGACGGACGCGGAGCTCCAGGAGATGATAGATGAGGCCGACCGCGACGGCGACGGTGAGGTGAGCGAGGAGGAGTTCCTCCGCGTGATGAAGAAGACATCGCTCTACTGAGACGTACGGAAGCAGCAGCAGCAGCAGAGCAAACAAGAGAGTGAGAGAGAAAGGGGGGTAGATATCTTTACACCGAATGTAAACAGCACAGGTATACACGTAGACACTCACCTTCTCTTTTGTGCAGCGCGCATTGCGACGCCCTGGGCAGAACTGTGCCCACCAAACGCATGCAGGCCGTTAGTCACGGATGAGGGGCGTGGTGGCGGGGGGTGTTCCGCGTCCAAACAAAATTCTTTCTGTGTGCCTTTCTTTTTCTTTTGTTGTTTTCCCTTCTTTTCGTGTGGGAAGGTTTTAGCGTCCCCGTGTTGGTGTCCCGCAAGGCGGGCTGGTCTGATGCAGAGCAGCGACCACCACTGGGAGCCGGGCGTGGCGTCGAGTGGGCACGGCGCCTCTCTACTGACCCGCTCGTTTCTGGCGCACATTGTGGGCACTGATGCAAGGATAGGATCAGCAGCAACCACAACCACAATGACGGCGTCTACCCAATGCCCATCTTCCGTTCAGTCGCTATTTACAGGCACATCCTCTTCCACTTCTACTGACACGGCTACTACGGCTGTGGGTGGGGAGGATGCTGGAACCCTCTTCCAAGAGAAGATACGGCTGCTGAAGAAGTCGATGCAGGATCAGCGAGCACTGCGTGAACAGCAGCAGCAGCAGCAGTTGCAGCGCGAGCGGGACGCGCGTGAAGTGAAGGATGCCGTGCACAATCTGCAGACCGGGTGCGCAGTTTTACCATCCAACGATAGAGGTGATAACGATTGGCACAGAGCTCTCAACAGCGGCAGCAGCAACACCATCAACATCAACAGGGACATAACAACAGAATCATCCTTTATCCAGTCGATCGTTCCCCCAAGGGCGTGGCGCAGGGTGGCGGAGTCTGGCGAAGCCGAAGAGGTGTGCCGCACACCAATAAAGGGAGTGACCGTGCAATCAACTGCAGATGATGCCAGCGATGCATCAGGCGCAACGGCGTCTCCTGTTGTGGTCGTCGTGGCCTCACCGCCACTCCCTGTGGTGCATTGTGACGCCGCCACCATGACGGTAGATGCGTCCCCCACGGCGCGGCTGCGCATGAACAGCGATGAGAATACTGCTTCTGTGTCCGTTGCGAATACAAATAAGTACGACAGGTGCACTGATGCGCCTTGCCGTGAAGTGGACAGGAAGGGGCTGGGCGGAAAAAAACCCATGAATCAAGGAGATGAACCCGTTACCGCTGCTGCCAACTTGAAGAGAAGGGTTAACCCACCCGATTGCCAGTCAACACGAAACCGTCACTGCCTGACATCGCCGCTTGCTGATGCTGGTGTAGGGCTAGCAGCTACAGTGAATGAGAGCTCCGTCAATGCGTCGCGGGACGCCGCGGTTCAGGTGGGTACGGTGCGTAGGCCCAAGGCGCCACGGAGGCGGGAGGCAGAAATACGAACGCTGCGTGCCCCATCAGAGCGCTGTAGCAGCAGCAGCAGCAGCCGTTTGAGCAGCCTGCATCAGGACACACGCGCAACGGGTTCCGAGGCGATGCTTCTCCCTTCCGATACAAAGACGATGTGGGCACAAAGTGAAGACGACGACGATGACGAGCCGGCACCCCGTAGGCCCACCAGAAGAACTGCCAGGCTGTCGGAGAAGGAGGTGGAGCAACTGGTGATGCGACGTCACGGGCCGCACGCTGTGCTTGTTGGCAGTTGCTCCGCGAGCTCCGAAACGCATGCTGAGGAAAATACGACGGAGGTGTTGCGCCGGCGTGGCGTGTCGCGGAGCCACGTTGTACCGCTGGAAGAGGCGAAACACGAGTTAACGACGTTGCACCGCCGCTCACCGAGCCTCGCACACAAATGGGTGAAGGAGGACATCGAGGCGGTTACAAAAGCAACGTTGGCGCCCACCACCCGCCCTTCAAACGGCTCGACCCGAAATAATCAGCAGAAGTCGCAGCGGAGGGAAGCAGGCGACGAGAGCGCGTTGCTGCGTCAGCGTCGCTGCCTTCTTCGCCAAATTAAGTTGATAGATGCAGAGATTCACCGTATGGGGCAGGTGCCGTGGTCCAAGACACTGCGCTCGGGCACCGGCACGTCGACTGCGCTGGAGCGCGAGAAAGCTAAACTTGTGGCTCTACGCAAACAGTATGAGACTGAACTGGAGCAAGTGGTTACATTTGGTGAGAGGCCCGTCACACCATCGCTGCTGCCGCCCTCATTACCGCTGCAACACCCACGAGCTACATCTGTGCCTCGCCGTGGTCCTTCCGTCTACGAAGCCGTGTTGCAGCAGCAACCAAAACAACCGGTGAGTACCAAGAGGCCGAGCATGGCAGGCAAGACTCTGCAGCAATGTGGGGCGAACGGAGGCCGCACACTCTCTAAGCGCAGTGCGCCATTGGGTAAAGGTGGCAACAATAGCTTGCCGCCAAGGGTGCAACACCCCGAGAAAGCGACTTCACGCTCGCAGTTTTCCTTTTCCTCAGCGCCCTGCACCGGATCATGCTCACATAATGAACTCGGTGGCCCCCTGGGACCACACGCGAACATCAATCGTTCAGGGTCTAGAAGGTCCATCTCTCTCGATGCCGAGAGAATGGCATCGCTTTATCTACGCAGTGCATCATCATCGCGGCGCTGTGGCACACCATTGGGGAATGGAGAGAGCCTGACGATGACCTGCGACAACTCAGCTGCTGAGAGCAGCGACGTTCCCCTCTACTGGAGGGTAGCGCAGATGAAGCGGGACACGGAGGCGCACAGCGAAAACAGGGGTGACACGAGCAACTGTTGGCTGGACTGCGAGTCCGCGTCGCCGTCGCCCAACCGCGTGAGTCCGCCGCTGCCATCGCGGGGACGCGTCAAGAGATTTGATGACAGCTGGTGTGAGGCGGAGCTTTGCTCGGATGTTCTTGCTGATCAGTACTACTGTGCGGAGTACGGCGAAGAGGAGTGTGTAGGGAAGGATGAGTCGAAACTCGCGACACAGCAGCCCTCATCAGCTGCCGAAGTAGCCCACCGAAACTCAGATCGGCGCTCCCTGTCTGTCTCACTTCCACTGAGGCAGCAGTCGCAGCAGCTTCAGAAGGCACAGGTGCAGATGCCTCGCGCCCGCTCCGGATCGCGGACAGGAGTGAAGATTGCTGGTGCGGTGTCCTCTGACAAGAAGGCGGGTAAAAAGCACTCTAACCTTTGTTACCGTCTTCGTGCCCCGACACCGCAAGAGGCCTCAAACCGAGGCGAATCAAAGCAACTGTACTTTCGGGCCGACCCAACAACCTACAAGGCGAGAACAGAGACACCAATGCATAACGTCGTGCCACGACGTTTGGGGAGGGAGGCGCAGCTTAACGCGTACCTGCAGCATGAGGAGGGCTGCCGCCGCAATATGGCCACCAGCTGCACGCCTGCTCGATGGCAGGCTGCCTACGCACCTCCTTTATCACATTTACTAGTGAAGAAGAAGCGTCTACAACAAGAGGACAGTAGCATGTTCGTTAACAACTCCGGAAGTTTCTTCAGCAGGACATCTCGTTCGGCTTCTGCTCCGCCACCTTCCACGCAGTTTGGAGAGAAGCCACGGAGGGCGGCGGGGCGCCACCCCTCCCCATTTTCTCCCGTACCACATCAGCTAAAAGACACCGTGGATTGGACTTCTCCACCTCGTTCTCTCAGATCATCTCAAATGGTGGAGCGTACACCGCCACCTGCTCACCACTCAAGCTCATGCCACAGAGAGAAACATGGCGGTCTGTCACCGCCACCGACAGTATACCGTGACCCAAAGGAGGAGAGTAAACTCCGAGTGAAGCAGCAGCAACAACGACGGCAGCTTGACTTTTCCCCGCAGCTATCAGAAGTTCATGTGTCACCTTTGACAGAGTACAGTGGTGGTGGCAGTTCGCCGATGGGAGCCACGTCGTGCGGGGCCGTGGCGGGTCAGCCGCGCCCAACTGAGAGTACTGAAAGGGAGTCCGAATCCAGACAAGTAGTGATGCGCCGACGAACACTTTCATCGTCGATGGGGGTTTCGCCACCTTCACCGCTGCGTGAGATAGCAGCCGCTCGCAGATCGAGCACCAACGTGCTATCGACGCCCTTAAGGACCACGCCGTCACCGCTCAAGAGCAAGCCGCAGCGTCACCTCGGCGATGACCGGACAAACGAGTTGTACCCTTCTTCTTCACGTTCTGCTGCCGCACCGCAGACCACACGACGGGTTGGCGCGGGTGGGATCACGCTGCGCCAGCTCTTTGGCCACGAACAGAAGCCCCTTCTTCGCTCCCCAGGGAATGGACTAGAAAGGGGTGGATGTAGTTCAACCGATGTTCTACTGGACCGTATATGTGAAATGCGAGCGCAAATGAAGTGAGCGCTCAGTGTTTTTTTGTTTTTCCTTGTACTCCACATTGCCTTCTAGAATGCGGCGGATTGTATGTGACGTGACGCCAAGAAACACATGTGATATGTGTGAATGCTTTAAAAGTGTACTCATGTTGCTCCTTGCGGCCAAACGGGCACGAGTGCCTTGATACGCTTTAGATGCACCAACAGAGAAAGAAGAAAGAGACCCTCTTCTTGGACAGTAATGTGATGAGGGATATAGGCCTTGTTTTTTTTTTGTTGCTATGTGTGTATGTGTGTGTCTCATGAGTCGCCTTTTACGATGCCGTTGATACTGTGGGCTTTTTTTTTTTCCTTCGCTTCGTTCGCATGCCGGCACAATAACAAAACAAAGGGGGAAGGACAACTAGAAACCCACAAAAAAAGTGGTGCTCTGGGTGCTCCGTTGGAGTGTAGATGTACGTGGCATCTGAGGCACTCGCGTGGTTCGACCACGCCGTGCTGACGGCGGAGCACCTTGAGGAGGGCAACGACGAGCACCGCGTGGTGCGGCAGACCCTGACGGCAGCGACGCGCCGGCGCTTTGAGGCACAGACACTCACCAACTGCTCCCTCAACAGCAGCAGCGTGCATGCGGCGATGAACGAGTTTTACCGCAGCGTCGGGCAGCGGCAGAAGGCGGCGGCGATAACGCCGATGACAGCATCACCACCGCACACAATCGGCTGTCGCGCGGAACACGTCGCGTGCCCGATCGACCACAACGCCGAGCCCTTTGCGCACACCGCCAGCGCCGGCGGGACATACGCCGTTGTGACGGAGTGTTTGCCGCAGCACTTGTACTTGTTTGACCAGGCGAACGACATCGCCATCAGCCGCCTGAGGCTTGCCAGCAGTGGCGGTGAGGGCGCCGCAGCACCAATACCACATGAAGGCAGAGACGCTCCTATTGACGAAAGTGATCTTGTCGTTTCACTTGATCTCGACCCCCGTGGCAACTTCTGTGTTGTGCGGTGGCGCTCCGGCAGAGCGGCGTACTACTACATACCTTCCTGCCGCCCCTCGCGGCGGCAGAGCGCGGCCGACATGCTGCACCGCGCCGACGCCCAAAAAAAGGAAGGCAAGGAGTTCGTGGAACGGCGGGAACGGCTGGATGGCGACATGACGCCCCGACGATTCCCCCTAATCCTCTGTCCAAGTGTCACCGGCACGCGCCAGCCATTTGCCATTGAGTGCATTGCATGGGACATGCACAACCGCAGCGATTTGACGACAGGCGACATCATTCTTGGCTCCAGCAGCGGCGGCATTCTACTCGCATGCCAGCTGGCGAGCCACGGCGTCGTTGCGGCGCGCAGGCTCTACCAATTCCCACAACATTACTGCTGCCACCCTATTGACAGCGTCGCGTACGCTGTTTCCCTGGACCCATCTGGTGCCCCGTGTCGCCACGTGGTGCTCGTTGCGCAGAGGAGCCGCATGTTTGTATTTGCTTCCCCATGGGGCCGCGGCAGCGCACTCGAGGCCGCGTTCGATGCATGTCGCACTGTAGCGCCGCCCTGCGCTTCACCTCGCACACACACAACCCCGGCATATGGGGTGGTGGACGGCACGACTGGAGGAAGTTTGTCCAATTACATCTATTTCGGGGACGACGCAACGGGCACCGCAGCTTCCGGCCCTGCCTCTGCTGCAATCGGCTGCCACCACAGGGCGCCCTCCAGTCTTGTTACTCACGCAGGCGCGATGATGCCGCGTATTGGTGCTGAGTTTTTAACATCACGCTTACTTTCTCAAGTGGTAATTCTGGACCCTCGCGAGTTACTCCCAACAGCCACTTCTACCTTCACTGCAGCGACGAGAGGGAAGGATGAAGACGACGATAAAACGGATATTGCGCCCACATTCGGTGCGGACGAACTTCCAGCCGTTTTTTGCTGGCAGTACGGCGACATCATCACGCAAGGTGTGGTTTTGCTGACCGAAACAGAGGGCACGGCTTCTGTGGAGGAATCTCACAAAATGCGCACCCATTCTTCTTTACGTAACGGTGCCGGTTTGCACCCTTTATCGCCTCGACCAAGAGTGCGCTCGCCGTCCGACAAGAAACGTCTTCCGTTCGGTCTGACGCACAACTTGTTGCCAATCGGTGTGCTCAGCGTAGTGAGCCTCCAGTGTTGCCTGCAGGAGTTGTCGTGCCTGGTGCAGCAGTTCAAAAACAATGCGCAGCGTCCACCAATGTTTTGTCTTGTGCCTGTCGCAGCGGAAAAGAAAATCAGTCCGCAGGTCGCCCCGGGGCGAAATGCTGGATCCCCCGAAATGGGGGCGCAGCCGTTTCTCCCCCATGAGACGCGTCAAAAAGCTTTGTTTTCATTATCATCATCCAGTTTCACCCCAAACCCATCCTTCATCGGAACTGTTACATCATCAAGTAAGAGGGATTCTCGCCCGAATGAGAAGGCAGAGGAAGAGAAGATTGTTTCCTTCGCGATGGGATACGGACACTTTGTGGTGACAACGACACGATCGGTGTACGTCTTTTGTCACCTCGCAGCGCTGCCGCTCCCACATGATGCACTGGAGTGGAAAAACAGCCTGATTTTCTCTCAGAAGCTTGCGCCGCGAAAGGAAGGCGGTGCTGCGGCAGCGTCTGATAGCGAGAGCCATGCCACTGTTGTCTGTTCACACGACATGGGGCGAGCGCAGGTGTTTCATCTGTTTACCACATCGTCCATCGTGGATCTTCGCCTTCGCCGCCACCGCCACCGCTGCGAGCAATACGTTGTGCAGTTGCTGGACGCTGTCTGCCCAATTCGTGGGGCGCTTGCAAGCAGGAACGACTCTGACGGCGGTGATGGTAACGATGACGGCAGTGATGGTGATGGCGACGAGGCGATTGGGGAGCAGCAGCGTGCGAAGACTCTAACAGCGGCATCTGTGACGTTGGCTTCGCCGTCCCACCGCTTCACACTACCGCTGCAGGTGTTTTGGAAGAGTCCTTTGACGTCCGGATTGACAAGCCCGAGCATCGGAGGCCCACTGAGCTCTTCGCCTACCAGCTACTTCAGTGGCAATGGACCCCCGCACTTCCTCTTGTCCTCGCACTTGCAGAAGGGGCCCGCCGCTGACACTGCAGCATCTGTGGAGGAAACGACCCGAACACAGGGACCAGGGGCGGTGATTCTTCCACACATCGGCGTCCTGGGTGGACACGTGGAGGTCGGTCTTCGTCAGACCACGTATTACGACACGGACAATCTGTACAACATGGCACTACGCCTTTCTGCCCTTTCTCCATCGACGGAGGAGCGGCACGATTTGCTGCCACGCGTTCGACACGCGTATGCAACACGGCTGTTCCGTCAGGGTCGCTTTCTTGAGGCTGCAGCACAACACGGACTGGCATTTGATGGGCCACCCTACTTCAACACGCTTCTGCTCGAGTTCTCACGCATTGCGGTAGATGACATGGAGCCACTCATCCTATTGCTCCTCCTGCGGCTGGGGGGCTATGAAAAACACAAACGCGGTGTAGGGGCGCATAGCGTTGAGGTGAGCTGCCTCGCAAGCTGGCTCATCTCACTGCTTCTCGAACGGTGCAACCAACTCGGGAAGGGAGTGAAAGGAAACAATGGTTCTCCAGCTCTGGCTACTTTTTCTGCTACTTCTACCTCTGCTGCTGCTGCTGCTGCTGCTGCTGTGCCGTCACTGACCTCGGGGGAGGATTGTGGTGCAACGCGGCGCTCGGCCGAGATGGCAGCGTATCTCCGCCACAAGTACAGACTCAGGGAGCCGCAGCAATTACTTGACCACATCCTTCAGCAATACCGCACATTCATCGAGTGGAAGGCCATTTGTGCCGCTGTCTTCGGCATTGCAAACAGCGAGCTCACCATTGACCTGTGCGAGCGGTTTGGCCACAACGAGGAGGTCTTGTCGCGACTCCTCCTGGCACAAGAGCACTCATTGGAAGGGCTGGTACGTCTCGAGCGACACAGCAGACGCGCCGTTGCCGTTGGCACCGCTGCTACTGCTGCTGTTGTTGCAGGGGCAACAGGAACAGAAGCAGTACTAGCGGCTGAAGGCCAAACTCCTTGTTCACTTTCGTCGCTCAAGGTGTACTGGATGCGATACGCATCGGTGCTTATGCGCCGCTCTCCGTGCCGTTTTGTGCGGTACGGACTTATTCCTTTTGCCTCCGAGTTGAGACTGAATCCTGTTCAGCTCATTCCTGCGTTGCTCCTGTATGACCCGAAGCGTAACGAGACAGTCATCGAGGCGGACAGTGCGACAGAGGTTGTGCTGCAGCGGCACATAATTGAAGATTCCCTGCTGGAGGAAGAGCGGGTCCGCGCCCCATATCATGCAGCGCGACTGTACTTGGAGCATGCACTGCACGTCGAGGGTTACACGGACGATTGCCTCCTAAATTTGCTGCTGTACTTCACAGCACGTGATGAGGACGACGCTGCTCTCACCCGCTTCTTCAGTGGGATTTGCATGGGCGATGTGGCGTGCCAAATAGAGTCGTCTTACGCATACCGTGTGTGCTGGCAGTTCCAGCGGCCGCTTGGGTGTGCGTGGTTGTACTTCCTCACCGGCCGCTACCAGGAGGCGGTGCAGCTCGCCATGAGTCTGCGCAATGAGCAGCTCGCTATGCAGTTCATCCGCGGTGTCAGAGGCGACAGCGCGGAGGGTGTGCGCCACGCTCTGTGGAAGGAGCTCGCCACTGCGACAGCGAAGGACAGGCAGGGCGGATCCCGACGCGCACTGCAGTTTGTCGCTGAGAGTGAAGGGGACCTCAACGTGAGTGATGTGCTGCCGCACCTCTCGGGAGATGTGATGCTGCAGGAGTTCCGGGAAGAGCTTCTTTCGAGTGTCGCGAGCTTCGGCAACACGCTGACGGATCTCCGGCAGACGATCGAGGCTGGAGCACGGGACGTGGAGGTGCTGCGTCGCGACATCGAGACGACGCGATGCCGCCCACTGATTCTTCCGGCGGCGCAGCGTTGCGCGGGCTGTGGTCAGCCAGCGCTGACACGCCCGTTCGTTGCTTTCAAAGGGTGCCGCCACGTCTTCCACAAGACGTGCTTCGACGCTCGAAGGGCCAACATGGAAGAGCAGCTGCGCCAAATTGCGGTGCCTGTCCTTCCACTGCCGAGTGGCAAAGAGAAGGAGTTTGACATAACGCCGCCGGCCGAGGAGGAATTGGAGTGCGTGCTGTGTAGCACGAGGTACCTGCGCCTCATGCTGACGACTCCGCTATCGAACAGTGTTATGGGCTGCCTGCCCCGACTGCCATAAGGGAAATACTATGGAAAGTGTATAGACCTTGGGCAGTAGGTAGTAGTGGTGATGCCCACGTCTATTGCGTGAGTGATTGCAGCAATGGTATGGTACACATTCTTTCTTGATTTCCGTAAAGCTGCAAGACGTGTGGGTTCGTTTTGTTTCTCCTACTTGTTTCCTTCCTATAGCAGTAACCTTTGGAGTTGACGTGAAAGTGTGCATGTCACTTGAATCCCGTTTTACTCGACGGTGTATCGTTATCAGCAGCAGCTGTTGCTACAGAAGGAGGAGGGGGTGCTTCCTTCCGCACCACTGCGTTTTGCCGTCCATGACACAGTCGCGGCGCTATCACGGGACGCCCAATGCACCGCAGTATTCTGAGGATCGTGTGGCCAGTTGGTGCCGCAGACTCTGGGCCCTAGCGCAGTGTGGCAGCAGCAGCAACTGCAACAGTGGCGATGTGCAGCAGTGCGCCTCATCCGTGTCTGGTGGTCGTAACCGCATGCTGCTAGGCGAGGTGCAAAACCAGGCGAAGCTTGCCGAAGAGCTTAAGGCGGTGATGATTGGTGAGAAGGGCCGCTTGCCGGAGTCTCTCGTAGAGTCGGTGTGGCACGTGTATGAGTCAATCATCCCGCCTGACGTGCTAAGCGATATGGGTCGCCGCGTGACTCCCGTGCAGGAGGCGGGATTCTTCGACTTTGTGGCCTGTCTGACAGAGCTCGACATCAATCTTGCCGACGTGCGGGCGGCGGCAAAGAAGTTGGGGTGCTGTCTCGACGCTGTTGAGACACTCCTCGTTGATGCGCAACGCGGATCAGGGAAGACCACGGAGGAACGCAACCCACCCGGTGTAAGTAGCAGCACCGACGATGCGGCGGCGCTCTCTACCAAATTGGTTGTGGCGAAGAATGCTCTGCTGCGGCAGTGCTTTGCTGTGCGGCAGGCGGGGTCGCCGGTGCACTATCTCTGGTTGCGGCAGACGGCGTCGCTGGAGCGTGGGATGCGGCGGCTAATGGACTTGCGTCGCTGCGTCACGTACTTCAACGGCAGGTGCCGCGAGCGCATCGCCTCACTTCAGGTGGAGCTCAAACTAGTGCAGCAGCAGCAGCAGCAGCAGAAACAACAACACATGGACGTACAACTGCCCACAGCAGAGGAAAAGTCACGTAGACAGGAGTGCATCGAGCTATGGGTAACGCGACAGCGCCACGTGTCTTTGATTGACGGCGCCCTGGAGTTTCTCTTCAGCGACTTCTTTGCGAGGGAGTGGCTCGTGATGGAGGAGTTGACCTGGTACTCCACGCCGCCTTCGCTGCTGGAGCAGGTGATCGCTGCAGAGCAGGTGCACCCCTTTGTTGGCGGCCTCGCTGACATAAAGCAGCGGCTGCAGCCGACGCAGGACCGCCACCTCTTCGCCTTCTTCCATCCCGCTGTTGTGGAGGAGCCGTTGATTGCTGTGCAGGTCGCCCTCACGCACGGCATCGCCGGCTCCGTCGACCACATCCTTGGTCGGCCATCACATCTCCATAAGGAACATCAGCAGCACGATGCGGAGCCGGTGGACACCGCCATATTTTACAGCATAAACTCCGCCCAGTCTGCGCTTCGCGGTATCAACCTTGGCAATATGCTCATCAAGCGTGTGGTACGTGAGATCGAGGCGAAGCTCAATGCGGCACGACGTGCTGAGGGCCTCTCACCCATTACAACCTTCTCTACCCTATCACCCATTCCTGGCTACATCCCGTGGTTTGCCACAGAGGTGGCAAAGCTTCAACACCGTGTGTTAACGCATAACAGCAGCAGCAGCAGCAGCAGCAGCCACATGGTGACGACGCCGGCAGGCCAGAAGTTTACGGACCACCGCATCTTTGGCAATGCTGGCGAAGATGAAAGGCGTTACTTTGCACAACTAGGCGCAGCAGTTGTAGCGTACTCAAAGCGTCATGGAGATACCCATACTAATCTTGCAACTCAGCTCCATCGTTATTTTACTGCGATTTCTGCTAATGTTGCCGAGAGTGCTGCAAGTGACGCGGCCAAACTGTCCATTCTCCAGTATCTACTGGCGCTCTTTCAGTCTCCCAATAACGGCCAGCAAAGCCCGTGGTGGGAGGATGGCGAGTTCACGCGTGCAATTGAGCGGCCTCTGCTACGCTCTGTGGCGCACTACCTCTGTAGAGAGAAGCGGCGCAACCGGATTTTGGACCCTGTTGGTAACTTTCACATCTCCAATGGGGCAACAATGCTGCGACTCAACTATTTGGCTAACTGCACCGCCACCGGCAGCCGTGAGAGCGCCACAGTGATGGTGAACTACCTCTACGACCCTGCACAGGTGAGCGCACAGGTGAATGCGTACGAAGTGCACCGTACTGTGCCAATCGCTGGCGAAATTCTTCAGCTCCTGGGGAGTGAAGGAGAATGAAAAAAAAGGGTAAGAGGAATATGTGGGTGCAAGGAGGGGTTGCTGCAGAAGTTTGAGTGTTGGTTTCCTCTGCCAATACATATGATTATGGCTGTGCACCTATGTTTTTGAAACTGTCGTGTCTTGGGCGTCACGTATCTTATTCTTTCTCACCTTCTCTTCTTTCAAAATTTGTCTGCGGAAGCGGGGGAAAAGGAACACATTGAGTTTCACCATCATACATATAGAAGAGCGGTGAACCGTCTGGGAAACAGGAAGGCTTGGGGGCCCAATAGCAGTGAGAATTCTTTTGCTTGCCAGCAACAACAACAACAACAGCAACATCAACAACACAAAAAGAAGCGTTTTTTTTTTTCGCGATACCTTTGCTTCTTGGTATCATAGGACTGCGATGACCACATCGGCATCAATTACACTTCCAGATGTACCAGGGAATCTTTCTATACAACATGTGGCTAGCTCTCCCGCGTCGGCGCCGCAGCCAGACGACAATCCGGATCCATTAAGGAGGAGCGGCTCATTTCTCTCTGTTACCGGAAGTGAGAGAGAGACCGGTGACGCTCGAGCCGAAACAAAGAGTCCGTCACCAGAGCCTCTGGTGATGTCGGTGGACGACGTGGTGCCACTTGCGTCTTGCTCGGTGCAGCTACCATCCTTGCAGTCGACGTCACCACAATTGATACCACCGCAGGAGGGGAAGCGACGCTTCAAGCGACTGCGGGCCACGCGAATGTCATCATCGCAAACAAGAGGGGGCTGGCGTAATCCGAGCACCATATCCGTCCTGGATTTGGCAGCCACGGATCTTGACGAGTTGCGGAGGTCCTTTGTTGCGCATGGGTACATTTTTAACCGAGGGGATTTGGTCGATATGTACAAGTTAGCCGGTAATGTGGCGAAAGAGATACGACACGGTGAGCGACAACAGCGCAGGCGGCAGATACAGCGTGCCACACGGCATCAGGCGCCAGATAGTCGCAAGAACTCCATGAGCACTGTGAGTGAAGTTGAAGGCAGTCATGGTGGTGGCAGCATCACTTCTTTTGTAGATGGCTCCAATACCACTGCTACAGAGTCTACAAGTCCCGCTGCGGAGTTTCCTTCCCAAAAGACACGCCTTCTCTGCATCTGGTTGTACGATCGACTCGTACAGCAACGTCTGGCTGAGTACGCAGAGCCGATAAGGGGTCAAGCACGGGACCCTCTCTCTGGTGCCGCCACCTTTTCGTCGCGTTCGTTCCTGAGCGGTGCGTCCAGAGCGGCGATGAAAACTCTACGAGGTCCACCAACGCCACAACTTCTGCATGAACTTGATATACATGATGAACTCAGCTCGCGCCTCTGCGAGCGTGACCCTAGCGCAGTCCTATCACTCTCGGATGTCTCACCAGATAATATTTTGCTTCCGTTACCAGCCTTCGTGTACGTTTTCAGTCGAGCAATGTTCCGTCTGTACTATTTCGCCAGATTCCCAGCGAATATATTTGCTGCACCGCGTGTGCCTGTTCGTCCAGGTAGTGGGGCTAGTGCCAAAGATGATGGGAAGAGCGACACCACCGGTTCCACCAATGCGGCGGCCGCTGCTGCTGCAGCTGCTGGTTATCATGCTGATGAAATTCTTCAAGAGGCGGCGTTCCTCCTTGAGGAATGTCGGTGTACGGCGTGTCAGTTCTATGAACTCATTGACACGGAGCAAAAGGGTGTCATAAGTTGGTCTTCTTTTACGGACTCACTGATGGAGCAGGTCGAAGTCCAGCATCGCACCATGCGGGACAAGGAGAACTCCGAGGAGTACATTCACAATGACGCTAGGGTATTCGATGAGTATGTATTGGAACCGTTTCCATCAGTGATGCAGCGCCTGGGATACATTGGGGCTGTCACAGAGGTACGACACAATGATTCTGCCATCATCGTGGAGGGCACGTACGACTTTGCACTCTGTGACAGTTTATACACTGGCCTCATTCAGCGCAAGCTGCTGGTGCGCACCTCGGGTATGCTATTTTCACATCGCCGAGGCGCACCTGACGAGTGGGGCGCCGAACGATGGGATGCCGCTACAGACACTGTGAATCTTTCACAACAGGAACAGAGACTCAACGGGAAGTTTGTGCACTACGAAGATGGCCGCAGCTATGATGGTGAGGCAAAGCAGAAGAAGCTCGACAAAAAGGAGCGCCGTGAAAGCTCCAATGTGGGTGGAGAAGATGATGATGACTCACAGTATGGAAGCGGCGACCGCATTGATCCACGCACCAAGCCTCCAATAGAGAGTGCACTGCAGGTGCGCGGTGTCGCACCGGACTTGCCGTCAGCAGTGGTGACGCTGCACAATGATCTCCTCATCCGCTTCTTCTATACGGAACAGCACCTCTGGGTGGTGCCGGAGACTGTTACCGTCTGCTGTACCGAAACCATCACAGCAATGGACTGGAACTGCGCCGAGGCGGATGGCGATTCGACTCTGAAATTGTCTCTCTTCATTGGTACGCGCTCAGGATTCGTATGCAAGATTGACCTGGAGGCAATTTTGCGGCTGATGATGAGTGTGAAAAACACTAGCGGCGACGTCATCACAACAGGCACAGCGGCAGCTGCCACTGCTCGCGCCAATCTTGAGTTGTATGTTCTCCTGCGTCAGAAAATTCACAAGGAGTTTGTGACGTCATTGTGCCTCACAACCGCTGGTGTGCTGCTTTCTTCGAGCCTGGACGGCACCGTTGTTCTCAGTCGAGCAACAAATCTGACGATGCTGCGCTCATTTCGTGCGCATCACGGATCAGGGGTGCGATTCGCCTGCATTACACCACTGCGGAATGCAATTTTGACGCTTAGCACTGGCAACCGCGTATCACTTTGGGGAAACACACATCAAAGCTCACATGTGGACCTCTATGACCCGTTGGCGCCGCACTACTTTCCTATTGTCTCTGTCAAGGTGGATGAGAGCTTGGATCAGGTCATCACAGTGGACAGTAGTGGTCATGCAAAGGTGTGGAACCTGCGCAGCAGCCTCACCAAGATGTCGTTTTACGCGGTTTCTGACAAAGGCTTCTCCACCTTCCGCCACATGTACTCGGCGGAGGATGCCACACAACACAACGGCTACCGCCTCTTTGACGTGGACGAGACGGAGAAGCGACGACCCCGACTGCAGAATGACAACAGTGGCCAACACGATGTGCCAGCGCTCTTGCAGACCACACTTTCGACCATTGAGGCAGGGAACAAGGCTAGGCACCTACACCCTGTGCGTCACGTCGCCTATGATGCGTCGACGAAGCGTCTTTTCGTCTCCGGCACACACAACAACGTTGTTTGTGTTTTTGTTAGTGGCTCAACAGCAGTGAAGGCTCACTCGACGCCGCTTCTTTATCTGACTGTGTGCGAAAGGAATCGTTGGATCGTTAGTGCGAGTGTTGCCGACTGCCGTCTATGGAGCTACCGTACTGGTACACTGGAGCTTGGTCTCAAGGCGAACGCACCAGAGTTCATTATGGCGCGCATGGTCCCTGTTTTCGGCTCCCAATCAAACTCGTCGGTAAGTGAGCAGCTCGCGGCCGCCACAGGGGAGATGGAGCGCTACACACTCGATGAGTGTAAGCAACTGCTGCCGACCCTAGATGACATTATGCAGGTGGTAACATCACGGGCGGACGCACACCGACGGGATCGCAGTCTTAACGCCATCTCGAAACGTGCAGGTGCCGCAGAAAAAGTACGACGTATCGCGCACTTGCGGCGGGAAGGCGACGATGGCACGCAAGCTACTTTGACGTCAATTGCTGCTATTGCAGGTTCTTCCGGTGGCACCAGTGCTACTGGTGGCACGGACACCATGGATGATGATGCACAAAAAGACCAGGCGGCGTCCTATCGGATTGTATGCGCCCACGTGGATTCCCAGGAGCGCTACATATTCTACGCCCTTAACAATGGAGACATTCGTGTACACCGCACCGACTCGGGGCGACTGTCCAAGACATTTCTGACAACGCCGCCTTCCACCGACCTTATCTTTTCCGCTGTGTTGCAGTGTCGGCACCTCTTTACATCATCTAAGCGGCTGACGGATCCGAGCAATAATGTTTTAAGTGAGGAAATGGAATCACCACGCCGTCTCACAGGTGCACAAATGCGTGTGCAGGATGTCGCGTTTGTTTTGCAGCGTCTCCTGCGTCAGGAGAAGATGTTGCCACTTCACCAAGGCGAACGTCACTCTATCCATACAGAGGCAACTGGCATGATGACATTGCGGAGATCCCAGGAGTTGGGTGTTGTGTATGCTGATGGCGTCATTCGTTTTTTTCTGCTCGTCGGCAACAGCGTGCACGCGCACCGTCTCATTATCCCTGAGTTCCTCGTCTCCAAGGCTCTCTCGTATCTGCGAGTCGAGGGTGTGCTTCAGAAAAGGCTGGCGAGCATCTCGCCTCCCGTCCGAGAGAATGGACTTTCCGAGCCACAGCTGAATTATGTTGTGGAAGCTGACGCCGTGAGCTTCATCGCGGTGAGCACTTCACTAGAGCTCATCTGTCTCGTGCAGGTAAACGGGCGCGTGTCGGTGATAGACATGAGCACACCAGTGGGTTCCCTGACGCAGGTACTTACTATGACGGCGGAGGTGTCGGCAATTTCATTCCTCGGCGCGTATCCGTGCCTGGCTGTGGCGGACACACAGGGCTGCATCAGCTTCTTTCTGATGAAGGGCGCCGCGATGCTGGCGCTATTCGAGGATTTTTTCAAGGCGGTGGTGCTGCATCGTCGGCAGCAGCAGCGGCGGTACTCACAGACACCCACCCTTACTGACCCCCCGCCAGGGGCTAGCGGCGGCGTTCAGCAGTACACAAGTGGGGCGACACGGCGCATGTGGTGGTTCCAGACTCCTGGCACACCAACGGCGCTGCACTTTGACCACACACTCTGCACGTTGTACATTGGCACGCGTCAGGGCTACATTTCGTCCTACTTGCTGCGCAACATGATCGTGGCGTTCGATCTGCACCCTGTCATCAGTGCTTCTGCGACAGGGAAGTCGTTCGACCATTACATCACCTCTTTGCGACAGCAGCGCGAATCCAATGAACAGAGAGTGTGCAATGTATTGCTTGTCTTCTTCGGTATTACACCCGATCATGTAATGAAGTATCTTGACGTCACCCGCACCACTGCGGCCTCGCTCTGGCGTGGCCCCAAAGGTGTGACAAATAACAGGGGAGCATCCGTCTCGTGGCGAGCTGCAGAACTACAACCACAACAACAGCAACAGCAGCAGCAGCAGCAGCAGCAGCAGCAACAACAACAACAATACCAATCGATGTCACAGACGGGGCGATCAGTTGCGATGGCCTTATCATCGTCGGGGTGTTCTGCGGGTAACATCAACGCTGCAATGCCGCCACGCACGTGGAAGGGTTCCCTCGCGTGGGTCTACGAGTCGTGCAAACCGCTCTTCTACACGTTGCCTGTTTCACCGTCACCTTTGTCACCAATGGCGCTGGGCAACGTCTCGAAGCCTTTCTTTGACCTCTCAACGGTTACCCTTTCTGATCTGTTCGTTGCGGCAGCGATCCTCCACCATGCGCTGCAGGTGGTATTGATGAAACGTGACGACCAAATGCCATCAAAAACAGCAACGACGGGGCATGACTGGACCCCAGCAACGGCTTTACCCATCGCTGCATTGCTTAACCAGAGTGAATTGCGGCATATTCGTCAGTGCATTGCGGAGGAGCTCCGCTACCGGAACGAGTTGCTTTTAGAGTCAGAGCGGATGCAGGATTATTCCTCCTCTGCCAACTCCCCTGGCGGCTGCGCCGTCGAGGAGGACGTCGACATTGATGCTTTGGATGACGATTCGGGGGAAGTGCCAAGTGCCATTACGGCGGATTGGGTGGAGTTTCTTTTCCGCCGCCATGTGGCGGATTCAGTATGCGACTCCCCACTATCACTGCTGTCTCTTCACGCTACACTAGAACGTGCCCGATGGGAACGGCGTGAGCGCCACAAGCTGCTCCAGCTGCAGGTGAATCTGGAGCGGGAGGAGCAGATGGGATTGACAGGCAGCTCATCCGTGGCCATACTCCCACGTGGACCCAATACGATTATTTCTGTTGATTGTGAAGCATTCCTTGAGGGGTCGCCAAGGTATTCCCTTACTGAGACAGTACAACGCCGCGGGGCCAGCGGGCGGGAGGAGGAACCATGCGACATTGACGGTGGAGAGGGCGTGCGCTGCATCACAACTCGACGCAACGGAATGGTCCTGGTGGGCAGCGCCGACGGCTCCATTTCAGTGTGGACTCCGTACGGCTGCGCGCGGTTGCAGGATCTGTGCCCAAGTATGCTCTTAGAAAGGAGCATTTACCGCCTGGGTGAATCCGTAAAGACGCAATTCGCACAACAGGTGGAGCGCGTCTCTCGTTATCGGCAGCGGCAGGCGTACGCGACAGGATGTCGCGACACAAAACTGCACGAAGCGATGATGCGCAACTTAGATGTCAAGTACAGAGCAGCCATCATGAAGGGTGAGGCGGAGCGGGCACTCAATGCGCAACGCAGGACTACTACAGCAACCAGTATAGTCAGCAGTGTTACGTTGGGTAGGAGCGATAAGGCGAGGAAGACGACCGACTACAATATCAGGAGCGTATACACCCCGCGCAAGTCGCCCCCTTTTGCAGCGGTGACTCAAGAGACGAAGCGAACGCTCCTGGAGATGCAGAAGGAGCTGCTTCTGGCGGTGTTGGGCATCACCCCAGTCATAATGACAGCAAAGGGCATTCTACTGGAGGATCTGTACTTTCTGCCACTGCAAATGTCGATGCTGTCAGAGCTGGAGGATTTCAATGTGGATGCATACAACGCGGCGGTGGATGCCGCGGTGGCGCGGCTCACACACAATCTAAACAGCAGCACAATGTGTTGCGATGACGCAGACGGCGATGCAGACGCTGCTGCCGCCGCTGCTGCCGCCGCTGCTGCAGCAGCTGCAGCCTTGGGAGGGACGCTGCCGATGTCGGCAGATGGCAGGCGTGGCAACTCGTTTGACGATCGCGGAAGCCGCGTGGACGACGAATACACCGGTGGGTCACTGCAGCCTGGTACCCACTGGGGGGGTCACCGTAGGGGCGAATGGGACGATACGACACAAGACGAAACAACCGCGCACTTTTTTGCGGCACATGAGAGACATGTGAAGGCCTTCTACACTGAACAGGAGCAATTTCGGGAGGGAAAAACGCGATGCGCGTCTCCCAAACGACTATTTGGTAGCGCGGCGATGAAGTTGCGAGGCTGCCAGTCGTCCTCCTTAGCGGACCGGCGGCACTCCGCTGTTAGTCAGCGCACCGCAGAGGCCTCCCACACTAATACTGCCGCGTGGGTGCCAACGAGCGCGCGCTCTCTTCCGGCGTACGCGCAGCCTGAGAAAAGCAACAGGGTGAGCGCCATCACCGTCGGCGTCTCCACTCGGCGCGAGCGGCGGCTCACTGGCTGTTTTGCGCTGGATCTGCAGGGCCTCGCGCGCACCTCCCGCTGGTTTACCGCGGAGGAGGCGATTCGTCACATCGTGGCGCAGAGCGACGGCGTGGCCGCGGCGGAGTCGTTCAGCACTCTGCTGGGCGCGCTCACACGTGGTGCAGTGCGGAATGCACGTGATAGCCCGTCGATGGAGCCGCAAGCAAAAGAGTCAGCCTCGCTTCTCGAGCCACTGCTGCTTACCACAAGCATCACTGAGGAGGAGGAGGAGGAAGAGGAGGACAACAATAGCAACGATCATCATCTGCATCAGCAACGACTGCAGTTATGGGAGACGCATCCCTCGACGGAAGCGAGGTCGAGGCAACGCAGCACCGTGGCCGTCTTGCGCTCGGAGGAGCCAAAGGAACGGCTTGCCTTCTTCATTACCGAGGCCGAGGCAGCATCGGCGGCAGCAGGAAACGGCAGCAGCATCCCACATCAGGGCCGCACTGCGCACACGGGCATGCCGATGGACAGCACCCCAACAGCCACAGAGGAGTGCGACGGATCCGAAACAGCGGTTAATGTGCCCATCGAGTGGTCACTCGCCAGCAAGGGGCACTCACACCGTGCCAAGCTGGCGCACACTGGTCGCACAGCACCAATGTGCGAAATCCGACAGCGAATGAGGTTGTTCAAGAGCTCCCACATAGTGACCGCGGGCAGCGCCACGGATTCATCAAAGACAGCCAACGACACAAGCACCTCACGACTACCGTTAGATTTTCACATGAACACGTCAATTCCGTCTCTATTTTCTCCAAGCCCCACCAACAACTTTGAACGGAGTGAGCGCACGACGTACAACGGTAAGGGAGCCCGGCCATCCAGCGGTGTGATAGTGCAACCGCGAGTCTATGGCGATGTAAGGCCGAAGACAGTAAGCAGTAAGCGCGTACCTTTGAAGTCGCCACTGCGATACCCACATCTTCCTATTGCTTCTGATTCCGGTGGCGCGCGTAATGCAGAAAGGGAATAAGGAGATGTTGCACATGTAAGTGATGGGTACTCTATTTCGTCTTTCCCTTATACTGCGCCTCTGCTGCGGGAACAAGGAACAATGAAAAAGAAGAATAATAATATGTAAATGAAAATGATGTACCTGTTTCTAGCAACGTAGGCACACCGATTTCCCCCCCCCCCCC